CCGGTACCTCCGGCAGCCGCAGCGGGACCCGCAGCCGTTCACCGGGAGCAGCGGCGGCGGGCGCGGGGCCGGGCGGAGGCAGCGCTCCGCCAGCGCCAGGCAGCCACGGGCACCGGCGGCGGCGCGCACGGCAGCGCGGGCACCCGCACCGGGGACACGCACCGGGACCGGGCACCCGCACCGGGGACACGCACCGGGACCGGGGACACGCACCGGGACCGGGCACCCGCACCGGGGACACACATGGGGGATCGGGCATCCGCACTAGGGACACGTAAGGGACAGGGCACCCGCACCGGGCACCCGCACCGGGGACACGCACCGGGACCGGGCGCCCGCACCGGGACCGGGCGCACGCACCGGGGACACACATGGGGGATCAGGCATCCACACTGGGGACACGTAAGGGACTGGGCACACGCACCGGGGATCTGTACCGGGACCAGGCATCTGCAGCGGGTGCCACAGCAGGGCCGGGCACCCACACCGGGCACATGCACCAGGGAGCCAAGCACCTTCACGCGCGTGGGGGACCGGGGACACACGCTGGGGACACGTAGAGGACCGGGCATCTGGGCTGGGGACACATAAGGGACCAGCAGAGAGCTGTACTGGGGCACCCACACTGGGACACACACAGGGGATTGGGGTCACACACCTGGGACATGTGGGGGACTGGGCACCCACACTGGTGCTCTGCACTGGGGACGCCCACTGGGGACAGGCACCCACACCCAGCACCCACACCGGGGAACCCCCATCTGCTGTGGGCGCCCACCCTGGGACTTAGTGCAGCAGGCACCGGGCACGCGGCCAGGACCAGCACCCACGCTGGAGACCTGGCACTGGGGACTCCCCACTGGCACTGGGCACCCCGCACCCACACCAGGAACCTGCACCCAGAGCGGGACTGGGCAGTGGCACCCACAGGTGGCCCAGCCCCGGGGCACAGGCACCCAGGCGTGTCAGAAGGGTGAGCATGCGTGTAATCACACACACACGTGGGGTGGGGTGTCCCCACGGGGGACTGTCCCCCAGGATGATCAGCCTGGCTGGGGCGGGGAACCTTGTCCCCCTTAGGACATGTGGTTCCTGCAGCCCTGTGGGGAAACTGAGGCACAGGGCGGGGCAGGAGGCCCTGAGCCGTGGGGACACCCCAACGTCTGCCCTGCTCACCCCCATCACCACCCACCTCGGCCCACAGGCTCGCGGCTCTGCCTGGCAAGGGACAGATTTGGGGACAGATCTGGGTACAGTGGGGTTGTCACTCAGGTTCTGCCTGTGAAGTGGTAGATTTGGGGACAGATCTGGGGACAGGGGGGTTGTCACTCAGGTTCTGCCTGTGAAGTGGTAGATTTGGGGACAGATCTGGGGACAGGGGGGTTGTCACTCAGGTTCTGCCCGTGAAGTGGTAGATTTGGGGACAGATCTGGGGATGGAGGAGCTGTTGCTCTGACCACGCTTGCAGAGGAAACAGATCTGGGGAGAAGGGAGTTGTCACTCTGGCTGTGCCAATGGAGGGGCAGATTTGGGGACAAAGGCGTTGTCATTCTGTCTGTGACCTTAGAGGGACAGGTTTGGGGACAGATTTAGGATAGAGGGTTTTTTTCGTACCCCTGGAGAGGGCAGATTTGGGGACAGAGGTGTTGCCACTGTGGCCATGCCAGTGGAGGGACAGATCTGGGGACAGATTTGGGGACAGAGGGGTTGTTCCTCCGGGGCTCCGGTCGCATCCCCCTGCTCTGCCGGGACGGGGACACTCATGGGCCACGGGGCTGGACTGGGAGTGGCCCTGGGGGGGGGGGGGCCGGGGGCCGGGCGGCCACTGCCACGGTGGCCTCGCAGTGCCACCTGGTGGCCTCGGCCACGCGGCGTGGCAGCCCGGGGTGGCACTGAGTGGGGGGCCCGGCTGAGAGCGGGGCACGGAGCCCCCCTCCCTCCCTGCCCCTCGCACCCAGAGCCGGGCAGGGGCTCAGCGGGGTCGAGCACGGGGACACCCACCCGACCCTGTGTCCATCCCCACAGTGGGGGACTCAGCGCCCCGTCGGGACAGGCAGGAGCCACCCCATCCATGCAATGAGCTGCACCCAGGTCTCATGCTGGGAGCCAGCCCCGGGGCAAATGGGGCTGGGGGCTGGCACTCTATGCCACGGGGTGGGGGTCCCGGGGGGCTGCTTTGTGAGCCCCATCAGCCTCTCCCCATCCCAGTATGCCCCGCACCCCACTGGGAGCCACGCTGGGAGGGCACGTGCTGTTTGGGGAGCCGATGGGGTCACAGAGGTAGTTTGGGGGACGGAGAGCTGGGGACATCGGTGGGGACATGGGGCAGGGCCCTGTGGGCACTAATAGGGCGTAATTGCCCTGAGGGCCACCGCCCCTCCCCTGCCAGCCCTCCCCTGGCCCAGGGGCCTCATTTAAATTCAGCTCTGAGCCCTGGTCCCTGCCCAGGCCATGGCACAGGGGTGTGGAGCTGGGACAGGGACATGGCATGGGGACACGGAGCCAGGGCAGGGACCTGGAGCTGGGACACGATATAGGGACACGGAGCTGGGATGGGGATATGACATGGGGACCTCGAGCTGGGTCACGGCATGGTGACACAGAGCCAGGGCAAGGACCTGGAGCTGGGCTGAGGAGGTGGCATGGGGACATGGAGCCAGGACAGGGACATGTCATGGGGACCTGGAACTGGGACAGAGACGTGGGGCAGGGACCTGGAGCCAGGCTGAAACGCACCTGAGGAGCTCTGGGGGGATTCAAGCCATCAAGCAGGGGGTGGCCATGGGTGAGGGGACCCCAGGGCTGGGTGGGGTCACTCAGGGGAGCTGTGGGGACCAGGTCCCGTGCAGCCCAAAGCTGGGCCCTGCGCGCTCAGCTTTGGGCTGGGGACATCATGGGACAAACATCAGGAAGCAGTGGGAACGGGGATGCCCCACTTTGGGGGACAAGACTGGGGACCCCACTATCTGCAACCCCCCCCCGGGGCTGCCGGAGGGAGCCTGCCAAAGCCAAGCAGTATCCATCCCGCCGGCACTGAGCCCCCACAGCACCCCAGCCCTGTCCCCACTGTTCATGTGGGGGGACCACCAAGACCTGGGGGGGGGGGGTGTGTGTGCTCACGTGCACCGTGCGGTGCGATACCCACCCACCCCCACCCAAGGGCCCCCACCGGACCCTGGGCGCTCAACCACAGCCGTGTTTAGTCTGAGGAGGAGTGTGAGTGATCTTCGGCTCCTCCAAGCACCCACGAGGGTAAACAGCACATCCCGGGCCCCGTGGCATGGACACGCGGGGGCCAGGTTGCCAGCTGTGCTGTGGGGGGACCAGGGAGGGGTCTGGCCCAGTCCACACACACACACACACACACCCCCCCAGTGCTCTGACCACCAAGGGGGGCTGGCAGGGCTCCCCCTGGGGAGTCGGGGCAATGTGTCCCCCCCTCTAGGTGTGGGTGCATGCTTTGGGGGTGCATCCCCCCCCCCCCCGACCTGTGCCATGCCAGCTCCCCACTTACCCCACTGCGTGAGTACACCCACCTAGCAGAGGAAGGTGGCACCCATGGGTGCGGGGGGGGGGGTGGGGGGTGGGCCTCGTGGGAGCATTCCCTCATCCACTCCAGAGCAGAGTCCTGCCCTGCTTGTCCCCCCCCCCCCCCCGCCTCGAGCCCAGCTCCAGCCTTCCAGGGCTCTCCCCAGGCAGGGGGGGTGTGTGTGTGTGGAAATTGCAGCTCCCCATCTCACCCCCCTCCCCTCCCCCCCCCCAGTTTGGGGGGCCCTGATGCCAGGGGTCCCCGCTGTCTCTGTGGGAAGGAGCACAGCGGGTTCACAGATGAGCGACCACCCGGACGCCTGGGTTCCCCACGCAGGCGGGGGTGGGTGCTGACAGCCTTGATCAGGGGGCTGAGGCCCCCACCCACAGCCCGCAGGGGAGAGAGCCGGGGGGGTCCCGGGGTGCTGCCGGTACGGGGATGTGTCCCCAGACACGGACAGACAGACAGACACACATGCACACGCACACAGTGCCTGTAGGGCCCCCCCCCCCCTCAACCCCCCCCCACACACTGACACCCCCGGCAGGGACCACCCATGCACGCCCATGCACACACACGGCCTCCTTGCACGCCCCGACACAGGGACCACACACACACACACATGGAAGAGGCAGCCGGAAGAACAGCCGGAGACAGACAGACAGGCAGACAGACAGGCGGATGTACACACACCCGGGCCGAGTACACGCACGTCCGCACGGGTAGACACGACCACACCTGCATGTGCACAGACACGCGTGGACCCGCAGCACATCGCACACGGACAGGCAGGCGGGCCCACGGGTGTGGGCACGGGGACACACAGACGCGCGCACGCACGCACGCACACGCGTGGGTACCCTCGCACACGCGACGCACACACATTCGCGCATGTGTGCGTACCCAGGCGCCCGCAGAGGCACACGTGTGTGCGAAGCCATGCGCACACAGACGTGTACCCAAGCACACACAGAAGCACACGCGGGTAAACCCACGCGCACACACATGCCTACCTATGCACACGCATGCGTGCATACGCAGCGACGCACACACGCGTGTACCCAAGCACACACATGTGTGACCTCAGGCACATACACGGACACACGCGTGTGTCCCCACGCACCCACAGGGACGCCCACACGCCCGTGTCCCCACGCAGAGGGACGCCGAGGGGTTCACACCCGGGACACACTCGCTCAGACCGGGACCAAGGTCCCGCATCTGGGCCCAGCCCCCCGCAACGGGCCCCCCCCGACTCCCCCCGGGCTGTGCCTCGACGGGGCCCCTCCAATCCTGCCCCCCCCGCCAGTGTGTGTGCGTGTATCCCCCCCAAATTGTGCCCCTCCCCATGTCCGTGCCGCCAGCGGGACCCCCGGGCCAGCGGGGCGGGAGGCGGGGGGACGGGGGGGGGGGGTCCCTCCTCCTCCTCCTTCATCCCTCCTCCTTCATCCCTCCTCCTCCTCCTCCCCTCCCCCTCCCGCCGCCCCGCTCGGTGCCGGTGCCGGTGCCCGGTCTCACGCCGAGCCCAGCGGAGCGGCATGGCGGGCGGGGGGCCCTGCCGCCGCTGCCTGCCCCTGCCTGTACCCCTGCCTGTACCCCTGCCTGTACCCCTGCCTGTACCCCTGCCTGTACCCCTGCGGCTCTGCCTCTGCCTCTGCTGCCTGCTGCTGCCGCCCGCCGCCGGCTCCTGGAGCCCGGCCGTGCTGCAGCCGGCCGCCCGCAGGTACCGGTACCGGGGGGGGGGGGGGGGGGGGGGGGGGATGTCGGGACACCGGGGAGATGGAGCGAAGGGACCGAAGTGTGGAGGGGGAGGGGTGTCCGGGCACGGGGGACACCGGGCACGGAGCGTGGGTGGCAGCGGGGAGATGGGGATGTGGGTACCAGAAGGCATTGGGGAGCTCTGGGTACGGGGGGCAGCGGGTAGCGGGCAGGGGGGGCTCTGGGTACAGGGGGGCTTTGGGTACCGGGTATGGGGGGCTCTGGGTACTGGGTATCGGGGGCTCCGGGTACAGGGGGGCTCTGGGTACCGGTTATGGGGGGCTCTGGGTACTGGGTATCGGGGGCTCCGGGTACAGGGGGGCTCTGGGTACCGGGTATGGGGGGGCTCTGGGTACAGGGGGGCTCTGGGTACCGGGTATGGGGGGCTCTGGGTACAGGGGGGCTCTGGGTACCGGGTATGGGGGGCTCTGGGTACAGGGGGGCTCTGGGTACCGGGTATGGGGGGGCTCTGGGTACAGGGGGGCTCTGGGTACCGGGTATGGGGGGGCTCTGGGTACTGGGTATCGGGGGTTCTGGGTACAGGGGGGCTCTGGGTACCGGGTATGGGGGGGCTCTGGGTACTGGGAGGCACTGGCTGCTGGGGATGGCAGGGCAGGAGCTGCTTGATCCGTGCTGCTGGGGCTACCAGGGCTGGGGAGGCTGGGGGGCTTCTGGGGCTGGGGCTTACTGGGGGATACTGGGGCCAGAAGGACTTACTGGGGCTGGGGGATACTGGAGCTAGCGGGATGTACTGGGGCTGGGAGTTACTGGGGCTGGGGGTTACTGGGGCTAGCAGGAGTTACTGGGGCTTACTAGGGGGTTACTGGGGCTAGTAGGACTTACTGGGGCTAGCATCACTGCTGGGGTTATGAGAGCTCCCAGGACTAGCAGGGTGCTGGGGCTACCGGGGTTGCCTGGGCACACTGGGACTGCTGGGGCTGGCGTGGGGTGAGTGGCCCCAGCCCCAGGGTCCTGCCCGTCCCTGCGAGGTGGATGGGGCCGGGGCAGCCCGCTGCCCGGTTTGGGGGGCCGTGGTCTCTGTCCCCACGGTCCCATCCTAACAGAGCGGCAGGGGGGTGGCGGGGGGGTTGTTTACAGGAAATCTTTGGCTCTGGCCGTGGCTCCGGCACCGGATTGCCGGGACCTCCCGGTTCCGCTCGGGTCGGCGAGGCGACGGGCAGAAGCTGCCTCATTTCCCCTTCCCCTCCCGGCCAAGCCCAGGAAGCCCCCAGCGCCTTGGCACTACCCTGCTGTGTCCCCCCCCGGGAGCCCCCCAACCCGCCACCTTGCCATTGGCATCAAGGGGCCTGCAAGCCCCTCGCCCCCATCCTTCTCGGGCTAGCTCATCGCTGGCGTCCCACGTGCCCAAGCTGAGGGGCATGAAGCCAACAGGCTGGTTTGGGGAAGGGGGGTGGGATTCAGACCCAACCCCAAGGTGGGTTTTGCCCCAGGTACGCGCATGCCCCGGCAGCAGAGCCCTGGCGCGCTCGGTGCACGAGTGCCGGCCCGGCAGCGGTGGGGGGGGGGGGGCCGGGTCAGGCTGGGCCATGCGAGTGCTCACACGCCGATGCCCGCCAGCTCCTGCCCCGCTCCCCGGGAGGGCATTCCCCCACGTCCTCCCTCTGCCAGGCGGGAGGCAAAACGGGCCGGGACCCGTCCCCATCCCCATCCCCGCGGGCGCCTGGCACCGCTGCTGCGCCGGTGTGGCTGCCTCCCGTGCCACCCCCGTGTGCGTGGGCAGCATCGCCCGGGAGCTGGATGCCCACCCGGAGTGTGTGGACACGATATCGAGGAGGGGGGGGGGGGGGTGTCACCCTGGGTAAGGGGGGGCCTGGTGGTGCCGCGGCCCCCCGGGACCCCGCTTGGCATCGCGGGGCGGCAGCAGCAGCGTGGAGACAGCCCCGGCGGGCTCGGCGCTTTCGTAGCCCTGGCACGGGGCCCGCCTGGGCCGCTGCCCGGCCGGAAAGCCCTGTGCCACCCTGCTGTGCCCCCCCCCCCCCCCCCGGCACCTCCCAGACAATTGTCCCCCCCGCGGCGCCCACTCGTCCCCGCCGCCACCCGCCTCCCTGCTCGCAGGGGTTGTGCAGCGCCGCGGCTCCCCCGAAAAGCTCGGGTTTGTGACCCAAATTGCACAGCCTCGGAGTTTGGAGCCGCCGAGGGTACCGCGAGTCCCTCCTGCCGCGGGGAGGGGGGGGCCACTCGGCGTTGTGACACTGGCGTCCCCCCCCCTCCCCTCTGAAGGGGGGAAACTGAGGCTGGGAGGGGATGCCCGGGGCAGGCGGGGTGGGCAGAGCCTGGCATGAGGAGCCGGCGTGGGGCGAGCAGGCGGCCGAAGAAAGGAGCCTTTGTGTGGGGTGGGCCGGGGGCGCAGGGGGGGGGCTCCGGGCCCCGCTCCAGGCCAGCCGGCGCCAGCGCCGTGCCGGGCTGGGAATGCAGCAGGAATGCAGGGGGGGTCCCAGCTCCCCCCTCAGCCGTGCCAGGGCAGCCCCCCGCCCTGGATGGTCCCCCATGGGCACCCTGAAAACTGGGGGTGGGCATCTCCCGGGGTAGTTTGGCGGGCAGGACCCCATGGGATGAGGAGGGGGGGACACCCTGGGTGGCACTGCCACCTCCTCCAGCCCCGTGGTTGACAGCGTTGGTGGTTTCCCTTCCAGCAACTGGTGCTCCTACACGGTGACACGGACGGTGTCGTGCCACGTCCAGAACGGCACTTTCCTCCAACGGGTCTTCCAGGGCTGCCGCTGGCCCCTGGCCTGCAGCGGGGGCAGGTGAGAGGTGCCACCAAGGTCCCCTGGGAGCGGGCACCTGGCATCCTGCCCCAGCACCCTGGGGTGCTCTGCTGCCCCCCGGGGTTTCAGGCCCTGGGATGGGTCTAAAAGCGCTGCCCCGCTCTGTGCCAGCAGCTACCGCGCCGTCGTCCGGCCCATCTACAGGGTGACCTACAAGACGCTCACGGCGCTGGAGTGGAGGTGCTGCCCCGGGCACGCCGGCGCCAACTGCGAGGAAGGTGGGAGCCCGCACAGCCGTGGGAAGGGGCCTCATCCTGCCCTGGTGCTGGGCTTCTGGTTCTTTCCACAGCTGGGGTGGGGTGGGGATGAGAGGGGTGGGTGGAGTGTGGACCCATGGGTGGGTGGGAGGATGTTCCGATGGGTGGGTGGATGGATGGATGGATGGATGGATGGATGGATGGATGGATGGATGGATGGATGGATGGATGGATGGATGGATGGATGGATGGATGGGTGGATGGATGGGTGGATGTTCTGTGTGGGTGGATAAAGGGATGGATGGATGTTCCCATGGGTGGGTGAGTGGAGGGATGGATAGGTGGATGTTCCTGTGGGTGGGTGAGTGGGTGGATGGATGGATGTTCTTCTGTTTGGGTGGATGAAGGAATGGATAAATGGGTGGATGATCTCGTGGGTGGGTGGATGGATGGATGGATGGATGGATGGATGGATGGATGGATGGATGGATGGATGGATGGATGGGTGGGTGGGTGGGTGGGTGGGTGGGTGGGAGAATGGATGGATGTTCCTGTGTGGGTGGGTAGACAGATGGACGGGATGGACGGGTGGATGCCCATGGGTGGGTCAATGGATGGATGAATGGCTAAGTGGATAGATGGCTTGCTGGATGTCCCTGTGTCAGTGGGTGGGTGGATAGGTGGGTGGAAGTCCCTGCATGTGGATGGATGAGTGGGTGCCTAGACAGAGAGAGATTCTTGTGAGTGGGTGGGTGGCCAGACGGGTGGATGGCCCTATGTTTGGCAGGACAGGTAGATGAAGGGGCGGGTGGGCAGATGGATGCTTGGTTGGCCGTGCCTGGGGGTGGGTAAGTGGAGAGGGTGATAGATGGATGGGATGCGGGTGGATGGACAGACAGATGGACAGATGTCTCCTCGGCAGCCAGCCCCCAGCCTGTCTTCTTACTTGTTGGGGGGGATGATGTCCTTGTCCCCATTGTCACCCGCATCCTCCTCTCTCCCTCTCCCCAGCGCCCCCGACTGCGGGTCCCCAGCCTGGCCCCAGCTCTGCGAGGGAGGGGGGCGGATCGGGGGCTGTAGGGTCAGTGGGGGGGCACCCAGGGGTGGGGGCACCCTGGGGACAGCTGGGTGGCACCGAGGGCCTGCAGGACAGTGGCTGGCACGAGGGGCTCCGGAGCCAGCTGGGTGGCAGCATCGCAGGAGGAGGCGGGGGGGCTCTTCCTCCTCCTCCTCCTCCTCCTCCTCTTCCTCTGTGCGTGCTTGGCCGGGTGCCTCACATCTGGGCCCGCTTAGGACGGCGCTGGCTGTCCCCTGCAGCATGGTGGTGGCTGTGCTGGGGTGGGGTGGCAGCTGGGAGGGGGGGGGAAGCGGGGGGGCACGATGCCAACGGCTCTGCTCCAGACACCCCTTTCCTGCCGCGCCGGGTGGCCCCGAGCCACGGTCCCCAGGGTCCCTCGGTGGGGACGAGGGGCTGGGACCCTGAAATGGGTCGTGGATGTGGGCAGTGTCCCCAGGAATGTGCCCCCCCGCCCCCCCAATCCACCCCCGGAGCTGGGGCCGGGGGGGTGTTGCTGGGGGGAGCTGGCTGGGGGCCATGGGGGTGTTGGGGGGGATGGGGTTCAGGTCTGCGGGGGGAGTTAGGGGGCCCTGGCTCAGGGTTAGGGGGTGAGTTTGGGCGATCTGGTGTGTGGTCATGGGTGGGTTTGGGGGGGTCTTGCTCAGGGTCAAGGGTGGGTTTGAGGGGAGGGGGTCTGGTTCAGGACCGTGGGGGGTTTGGCTCAGGATTATGGGGTTGGTTGGAGGGATCTGACGTGTGTTCATGGGTGGGTTTGGGGGGAGTCTGGTTCAGGATGATGGGGGGGTTTGGGGGGCTCCAGCTCAGGATCATGGAGGGGGTGGGTTTGGGAGGATCTGGCTGCTCACACATGGGTTCAAGGAGGGTCTGGCTTGGAGCCGTGGGGGGGACCTGCCCTGGGGCCACGCACGGGTGGTTTTGGGGCTCTGAGCCTCACCCAGAGCGAGGATGGGGCAGAAGCAGCAGGAGCCCCTGTACCTCCCCCCTGTTTTGGGGTGAGGGGCAGCAGGCTTTGCCAGCCTCGTGGCCCTTGGTCTCCCACCAGAGGTAATGCATTGGGGAGCAGGGGGGGGGGTATTCCCCTTTCCTGACCGCCTCCCTCACCTCAGCAGAGGCTCACACCTTCCTCGCCCTGCGGGACACCGGGCGCCCCAGCACTGCCCCACGCCGGCCCCCCCTGCGCCCCACAGCTTTCTCAGGTGGGTCCCTCCCCAAGCCAGCCACATTGGTGGCCCCCCAACCTGACCACCCGTGCCCACCCGCTTTCCCCCCTGCAGGGTGCCTGAACTGCAGCCGTGTCGGGGAGCTGACAGCCCGGCTCGCCACGCTCGAGGCGCAGGTGAACCCCGCACCGTGCCACCAACCCGGGGTCCAGCCACCTCCCTGGCTCACCGTGCCAACCCCTTCAGGGCCACAGGAGCCCGAGGCAGAGGGGGGGGTGTCACCTTATGGTGTCCCCCACTGTGGCAACCAACCTTCCCATCTCATTGCCAGGTGGCCCGGCTGTCGGTGGCTGAACCCCCCACCCCTCCGACACCCAAAGGCAGCCCCTCGGGCAGGGGGACGGAAACTGGGCAGCTCTGGGGGTCCCCAGCCGCCCGTGGGAGCCCTGGGGATGATGGTAAGGCAGGCAGCTCCCCCCTCCCCAACCCCCCACATCCTGCAGCACTGCACCTGGGTGTTACCAGTATTTGGAGGGGGGGGGACTGGGGGACTCCCCTCTTGGAGCCCATCACCTTGAAGCCCCCCCCCCAGCCACCCCCAGCTCTGACATTGAGCCACACGTGGGGACTAGGCCAGCTCTGGGGAGGGTCTAAAGGGCTTTGTCCACCCCCCTCAGTGCTTTGGTTTGGGGCATGGTGGGGGCACCAGTGTGGGGTGCCCCCCAGCCCCCACCCCCAACCGATGCTCTCCCCACCCACACCAGGGTTGCAGCGGGGAGCTGTGACGGTGGGGACTGGGTTTGGGTGGGGGGGCACCCACCGAGGGGCTATCCCTGGGGTGCTCCCCTAAGGGTGCTGCTCGGCTGCAGGGAGACCAGGCTCGCGGGGGCCCCCCGGCCCCAAGGGAGACGCGGGAGGACGGGGACCATCAGGCATTCCCGGGGTGAAGGGTCCAACGGGGCCACCAGGTAAGGGGGGACAGGGAGCCCCGGTGAGGGAAGGGGGGGGGGGGGGGGGGGGGGTGTCCCACCCCATTGCCTGCCTCCAGCCAAGCACCCCCCTCCCAGCAGGCAGATCTCAGGAGGCCGTGCAGCGGTTTTGGGGCTCAGAAAGGCTCCAGCGCTGCACAGCTTCAGGCATTGGGAGTTTAACAGGCACACACACACACCCCCCCCCCCCCCCCAATATTTACCCTCCTTTTCCTCCCTGCAGGTCCCCCCGGCCCCCCAGGACCACCCGGTCGGGATGGAGCCAGGGGACTCCCCGGAGAGAAGGGGTTACCCGGGCCCCCCGGGCCCCCAGGCCCCCCTGCCCCCGTGGGGCCAGTGATACCCCGCATAGCTGAGCCCAGTAAGAAGGGTCTGGGGGGGGTGGGGGTGGGTGTCCCCTCCCTGGCCTGACCCCAAGGATGGGGACTGGGGGGGGGCGGGGCTGTACCCTGGCAGAGCATCCCTGCCCTGGCAATGGGGCTGGGGGGGGCAGCCTGGCCGTGGGGAGGGGGCTGCAGGGTCTGGTGGGAGCATCACTCGTGCTGGGGGCGGGGTGGCCAGATCCTGCCTGGCCGGGTGGTACTGGGAGCCCCGGGGAGCGGGGGGGGGGTGTGTGTCTGGCCCCTGCCCACCACCCATGCTCTCCCCCAGGGGACCCGCTCCTCTCCAACACCTTCACCGAAGCCGCCGGGGGTATCGTGGGTCCCGTCGGACCCCCCGGGCCTGTGGGGCCGATGGGTGAGTTCCCTACCCCCCCCCCAAGTCCCTACCCCCCCTTCCACCCCAGCACTTTGCGGGTGCGCTGGTGTGGGGTGCCACGCTGAGCTGTGACCCCCTCCCCTCTCCTTGCAGGTCCCCCCGGCCCTCCGGGTCCCATCGGGCCACCCGGCCCCCCAGGACCCGATGTAAGTGCTGGGAGCGCCAGGGTGGGGGGTGCATGGGGTGGGCTGAGCCCCCCCCCCCCAGACCCTTCCCTGCGGCTGATGGCACCCACCTTGTCCTTGCACAGGGTAGAGCTGGGGCACCCGGAGCTGCTGGCCCCCCCGGGGAGAAGGGAGACAGGGTGAGTCCCCGCCAGCCCAGCACCGTGACACGAGTTGGGGAGGTCTCAGCAGGGGATGTCTGCCGGCATCTCCCGCTGCGGGGGGTGTGTGTGTGTGTATGGAGGGGGGGTGTGTGGCCATGCCCCACAAAGGTTCTGACGGGCTCTCTCCCCCTGCCAGGGTCCCCAGGGCCACCCAGGCAGCCGCGGGCAGGACGGGGCACAGGTACGTTGCTGGGTCAGGCCCCCCCGGGCCACAGCCCCCCCGTGCCCCCCCCCCCTGCCAGGCCCTCTCCTTTCTGTGTTTCAGGGCGAGCCGGGCCCCAGGGGCGAGCCGGGCGAGAAGGGCACTTGGGTGAGTGGTGGGGGGGCACCGGGGACAGGAGGGGGGGGACATCGGTACTGGTGGGGGGGTCAGCCATCCATCGGTGCTGGGGGGGGAGGTGATGGGTGTAGGGGGGAACCCCAGCCCCCCCTCCCCTGCTCTCCCCCATGTCTCATCCCTGGGCATGGTGACATGGGGGGGGGGGGGGGTGGTACAGCTGTGCCCAGTGCCCTTGTCCCATCCCTGGGACCCCAACAACAGACTGGGGGTCCCCAGCTGTGCCCTGCGCTCCTATCTCACCCCTGGGACCCCCAACAGTGGCATGGGGGGGTCCCTGGCTAGGCTTGTTCCCACCCCCCCCCCCCCCATCTGAATGCTGGGGCAGAGGGGGGCCACCCCTGCACACTGTCTTCTCCCATGGGGGATGTCACACCATCAGCACAGCCCCCCCTGTTCTTGGGAGCATGATGGGGTGCAGAGCCACCCTCCCTCCCCCTGGGACCCCCCCAGCACGGGGAGGGCACAGGGTGGGCTCAGACTCACCAGGAGTAGGGCTGGGTGCCCCCCCCGGGGGTACCCCCACTCCTTCTCCTGGTGTCAGGGGGTGCCGGGAGGTGGGGGGGTTCCCGTGTCCCCTCTGTGCCACCCCCCTCTGCCCCAGGGGAGGTGGCCCAAGACCTGCCCCCCCCCCCCTCACCCCCGCCCCTCTCTTCTCCCCAGGGGGAGGGTTTGCACCAGCTCCGCGAGGCGCTGAAGATTTTAGCGGAGAGGGTTTTAATCTTGGAAACAATGATTGGGCTCTACGGTGAGTAGGGGGGGGCCAGCCCGGGCCACGGGAGGGGATGGGGACCCCCGGGGTGACCCCCGCTCTGCGGGGTGGCCCCCCATCCCCGCCAGCAGGTCACCAGGCCCCCATGACGTCACGGTGGCTCGCTGATGTCACGGAGCTGCGGGGAGGGGGTCCCTCGGCACCCCCTCTCCTCCACCACAGGGGGCTGGGCAACGGGGGCAAGGCCCCGCCTTGGCTGTGGTGTGATGTCATCAGCTGCGCATGAGGTCATCACCCGCACTGTGGCATCGTGGCCAGCACTGGGGGGGGCCACTGGGGCACCCCTTGCCTGGGCTGGGCACCCCAGGAACCCTCCCCCGGGCACTGCCCAGGGTGCCCACCTCGGGCAGGGACACCCGTGACCAGTCTCTGTCTTGGGGACAAAGCCAGTGGCCCCCCCCAGGCTGGTTGGGGATGTGTCCCCCCCCTCCATGTGTCTGGGGGCTCAGCATGCTGGGGGGGGGACTTGCCCGGGCAGGGGACAGCCGTGTCCCCATCAGGGCGCTGCCGGGGACATGGAGGCTGCCATAGGGTCAGCGCAAGGGACCCCCCAGCCCCTCCTTGGACCCACAGGGATCCCCCCTGGGGCCACAGGATCCCCCGGCACCCCCCTCTGAGACCAGGAGGAGCACCCTCCCGGGAGACCTGGCACCCCCCTACCCATTGCGCTGGCACCCCCACCCCCCACCCCCCCCCGCCGGGGCTGCACCCACGCTATGCCACCCACGCCGTGCTATGCCACCCACGCCGTGCCACCCGTGCCGTGCCCGCCGCACGGGCGAACACGCGCTCTGCTCTGCTCTCTCACTCTCCCCCAGGCCAGTAGCTTCCAAACCCTCCTGCGGCAGCAGGCCCGGCTGGAGGTCCTGGCTAGAAGGGTCACCTTGCTGGAAGCCATCATCTGGCCAGGTAACCGCGCCGCCTTCCCTCCTCCCCTCCCCGCATGAGCTGGGGCGCGCCGCGGCCCCCCCACCCCCTCACCCACCCCCCCCCCGAGAGCGGGCATGGAGCACGGGGGGCTGTAGCCCCTGGGAGCAGGTCCCTGGAGCCCCCCAAGGCCAAGGGAGACCATGGAGCCCCTCTTGGATTGAGAGACAACCATTGGAGACCCTCTCGGACCAAGGGAAACCCTGGAGCTCCCCAAGGATCAAGGGCGACCATGGAGCCCTTCTCAAACCTTGGGAGACCCGTGGAACCCCACCAGGGTCAAGGGAGACCCGTGGAGATCCTCTTGGATTAAGAGGGAGGACCATAGGGACCCTCTCGGGTTAAAGGAAGCCTTGGAGCTCCTTGGGCCAGGGGAAACCCTGGAGCTCCCCTTGGATTGAGAGAGAGCACCGCAGAGACCCTCTTGGACCAAGGGAAACCCTGGAGCTCCCCAAGTATCAAGGGAGACCATGGAGCCCTTCTCAAACCGTGGGAGACCCGTGGAGATCCTCTTGGATTAAGAGGGAGGACCATGGAGACTTTCTTGGGCCAAGAGAAGCCTTGGAGCTCCTTGGGTCAGGGAAAACCCTGGAGCTTCTCTTGGGCCAAGGGAAACCCTGGAGCTCCCCTTGGATTGAGAGAGAGCACCACGGAGACCCTCTTGGACCAAGGGAAACCCTGATGCTCCTCAAGGATCAAGGGAAACCATGGAGCCCTTCTCAAACCGTGGGAGACCCGTGGAGATCCTCTTGGATTAAGAGGGAGGACCATGGGGACCCTCTCGGGCTAAGGGAAACCTTGGAGCTCCTTGGGCCAGGGGAAACCCTGGAGCTTCTCTTGGGCCAAGGGAAACCCTGGAGCTCCCCAAGGATCAAGGGAGACCCTGGAGCCCCACAGGGCCAAGGGAGCCCCTCTCAAACCAGGGAGACCCACGGAGACCCTCTTGGACCCTCAAGGCAGCTCCTGGAGCTCCCCAAAGCTGAAGGGAGGTCCTGGAGGAGCCCTTCAACCCGGGGAGCCCCTGGAGCTCCAAGGATGGAGGGAGCCCCTGGACCCCGCCTTGACCCAAGGGAGATGCCAGTGCCCTGCCCCCACCATGCCAGGGCGCCCAGCTGGGGGGGTGGTGGGTGCTTCCCCCCCCCCCCCCCCCCCTTTCCTTCCCCTCGCCTCCGCATCCACTTCCAACTGTGCTTTCCTGCAGGGGGGACCCCGGCTCTCGGGGTGCCGGCCAGGGGTGCCAGGCAGGGGGGGTGCCAGCCGGGGGGTCCTCGTGTGTCCCCCTCCCCCCCGCCCTGGTCCCAGTGTGCCTCTCCCAGTGTCCCCCTCCCTGGGGACAGACGGAGCCGTGGAGCTCCACGCGTGGCCGTGGAGTAATGAACCCTATTTCTGTGGGGCAGGGGACCCCCCACCCGCAGCACCTGATGCCAGGGGGACTTTTTTTTTTTTGGGGGGGGGGGTGGGGTGTGGATGGGGGGGTTGGTGTCTGGCATCCCACTGCCTCCTGATGCCTCTCTCCTTTCCTCCCCGCAGAACCAGAGCCCGGCTCGGGCAGTGGCCCCCCCGGCACCGCAGTGCCCGGGCCCCCCCGCGGCAAGCGCGGCAGCGGCCAGCTCCCCTACCGCATCGTAGCCCCCCACCGGCAGCCCCCTGGCAAGCAGTAATGGAGCCTAAGGAAGCGGGGGGGGGGGGGGGGGAATGTCACCCCCTGTCACCCCCCCACCCTGCACCCACCGCCGTGTCAGTCTGGGCAGGAGCATTGCCCCAGGGTGGGGGGGTGGGGGCAGGATGGGGGTCACCCCCCCCATATCCCCCGGCCCTGCAGGGCTCTTGGTGCTAGCCGGTGACACGGCACCGGCCCCCCCTCGACGCTTTGTCCCCCATTACTGCCGCTTGAACCCCCACCCGGGGAGGGGGGAGGGAGGAAAAGGGGTCCCAGGGCCCCCCCGCCCCATTTCTGACCCCCCCCACCCCCCACCCCAATGTGCAGCTCTGGGGGTGCTTAATACCTTCCCCAGCCTGACCCCCCGTGGCCACGCCCCGCGCCAGGGAAGCGGCTGTGGGAGGGGGTCAGCAGTGGGGACCCCCCCCCCACGGGTGGGGACCCCCACTACACCGCCCGCTTCGTCCCGCTGCTTTTGGGACCCTTGAGGTCATTAAACACCTCCTGAACCCGTGTCCTGTGGCGGTCACTCAGCGGCTCCGGGCACCCCCTCGGGTGAAGCGGGCACCCGTGGGTGCTGGAGGCGGGTGCCCTCCGCCCACGGCGGGTCCCCTCCGCCCACGGCGGGTCCCGTGGGGTGTCCCCGGGGCTGCCAGGGGGAGATGGGCTGCGGTGAGCTGGAGGAGGGGGCCCGGGGGACACACACCCACCCACGCCGTACCACCTCCGGGACACCCACTCGTGTCACGCCGGCGTGGCAGGACACGCCGCAGCCCCCGGCGGTGCTGGGGGGGGAGGGAGGGAGGGGGACACGGGTGGGGCGGCAGCCGCTGGGCACGGGGGGGGGGGGGCGCCCCCGGGGATGGGGTGCTGGCCGGGGCTGTCCCTGCGGTGTACCTGCCCCACCCCCCCCGCGCTTGGCCTCATGGGGCGCGGGGGGAGGGGAGAATGTGACGTCATACACGACGTCACACGCGATTTCGCTCTGTCACGCTCACATCATGGCATTGCCTGGCCAGCGTGTAGTGCCAGGCACGGTGTAGGATCCCACACGCCACCCGGCGCGGCCTGCGGTGTCGCTTGCTAGCAGGCGACGTGTGACAGCTGGTGACGTCACGCGCAGCCCGCGGCGTCACTTGCGGGAGCGTGATGTCAGGCGACGACGTTGCACCACGGCACACCGCGCGCCGCCGGGCACTGACGGCACGTGCCACCACTTGCTGACGTGCGACGTCAGCAGCGGCCCCGCTCACCGCCCCGCGGCGCTGCGTGACGCCCGGCGATGACATCACGCAGCCGCAGCCACGCCCCCCGCTCCGCCTCCCGGCCCGAACGGCTCTTGCGCGACGGTCCCTAACGGCCGCGTGGCCGTACCAACCCGCGGCCGGGAGAGGGGGGGGGGGGGGGGGAGAGCTCAGCGCCGCGGGAGAACCGCCCTCCCGAGGGTCGCCCCGCTGCGGGGCGCCCCCGGTACTCTGTGCAGGGTGGGAATCGGCGGGAGGGCGGGGCGGGGCGGGGCGGGGAACAGCCCCCGGTGCGCGACCGCCGGCGGGTGTCCGTCCCCCGCCGCCGTGGTACGGCCCGCCGGGGCTGGGTAGCGCATGCGCAGTGCCGGGTGGCGGCGGCGGCCGGACGTTGGGAGCGCGGAGGAGGAAGGCGAGAAAATGGCGTCGACGGGTGAGCGGGGCGGGGGGGGGGGGGGGGGGGGTCGGGCCGGCTCGGCCCGGGGCCTTCGCGGGGAGCAGCTGAATCCGGGACCGGCCTCCTGCCCCGGCGCCCGTCAGGACGGGCTGAGCCTGGGGCTGCGGCCACCGGCGGCGCCCCGGGGCCACCGGGGCTGTGGGGAGCGGAGCGGCGGGGACAGGCCCGGGCCCCTCGCGCTGTGGTGGCGGGGACCCTCCCGGGTGGGCTGCGGGCGTCGTGGCCCTCCTGGCCCCTGCCCAGCCCCTCAACCCCAGCACCGCTGTCCCCGCGGGGACCGGGACCCTCCGCTACCCCCCGGGGCTTGCGGTCCCCAGATTCTTTCTCCTAGATGTTTGCTAAAGGGCTGCGTCCAACAGTGCTCCGGCCCCAGAAGAGACTTCGAGTTTTATGCTCTCTCAGGACATCACGGCCTTTGGTGGCTATTCAGGACGGATTCTGGTGCAAGTGTAATTTCTTTGAATAAAGCCAATGAAGCATTATAGAGGGAAACGTGCTTTTACACAAGGGTTCCGACCTGATGCGAATAGGTCAAAATTGAGACTTACCAACCATGGCAACGTGAGCCTTAAAGTAGCCTTAAAGCCCAGCGACCAAAGGTTGGACTTCTCTGCAGAGGAGAATGTCACAAGCCACGGAGTGTGAGGGAATATGATTAATATCACCTTGGAGAGATTTAAAAAAAAAAAAAAAGTTATTAAACAAACATGTGCCAGTGGAATTGTCAAAATGGGGTTTAAAAATACAGCTGTCTTTCCACGTAAGACATGGAAATGTTATTCTGTGGGAGCTGCTATTTTCGGCTGCGCTATTGTGCTCTTGAGCCTCGTGAAATAGAAGGATGAAGATTAATTTCCCACTGGAAATAAAGGCTCAGAGATGGTTTTAACTAAATGAACCATAATATTTTTTTTTTTTTTTTTTAGCGTTTTGTGTTAATCTAAATTCAAGCCAATGAGAAGAGAGGGATTATCAGAGGCAAATTCAACACCTGGATTTAAATCCTACAAAGGGGGGAATGTCCTGTATAGGTAGGACTGGGGGTAGGCTGTAAGAAGGGATGTGTGATGGGTGTTGAATTGAAGACTCTCTGCATAGCTCAGAGCCCCGGCTGCTCTTTGGGGGGTGGTAGGTTACTGGGGGTATACCAGTGAGGGATGAGGGCTGGGGAGGTTCATGGTCAGCAGCCTGGCCATTTTTTTAACAGCCTGAAGGACTGTGGTAACCCAACAGGGTGCGGAGAATTAGAATTATATGTGGAGTAGAGAGGTTTCAGTGACTGGAGGGTGAATAGGCTTGGGAAGGAAAATATGGCAAGACGTGGGGGAGGCTGGTACGAGGAGGCGGTGGGAGAGGGAGGGTGGATGAGGGGGAGTGTGTGTTAATGGTTTTTAACACTCAGGATTTAGCAGGGCTTAGAGCCACATGTAGACTAAAAAAAAAAAGAGCAGTGACTCTGAATTTAACAAGCTAAATTTTTCAATATTAAACGTGACAACCTGTAAGGAAAGCAGGAGTGGTGCCAGAGTAGTTTAACAACTTGTGCAGTGCGTCTCAGCAGCGTGGAAGCCTTTGGGTAGCAGTTCAGTGTCTTTATTGTGCGCGGTGTTTCGGGCATCTTCCTTGTGTACTCGTACAGGTTCCTGCGCTCTGTTGCAAGGTCAGAGTAATTAATATCTGTCAAAAATCACTACCAGAGTCACGGCCCTTCCTTTCCTTGTCCATCACCATGCACCCTGGGGTCTGAACTCCAGCATCAGCAGAGGGAAGTGCAAAGGAGGAAAAGCTGTAAGTTCACACAGAGGAATTAGGAGACGGAGAGGAAACTTTAATTATGAATGAATCCATGGCTTCAAGAAACAGGAGGTTCTGGTGTATGAAAATTGTATTTTCAAAATGATTCCTGGTGTTCCATCACCTTCAGTTGTGAACAGCATGATAAAAGTGTTAAAGCGGTCCTTCCAACCTAGGGATAACTGAAGGCTGTAGGAAGTTGTCAGCTGGGTTCCTCAGATTCGTAATCTTCAGTTTTCCAGCTGGGATCACTGTACCCCCCTCTCCCTGAAGTGCAACCATGATAGTAGAAATACCGAAACCTCTTCCCACACAGGACTGTATGGCTCTGCCTGAGAAAAGCTCCACTAATGTCCAGGTTCTGCCTCCAGCTCAGTCAGATGCCGTGGCCCGAGCGGCAGATGTGAGCAAGGTCTGGAATCATTCCTGATCGCTGTGCTCAGGACTTTGTGGTCCTGGGAGAGCTGGAATCTGGCTGGCAAGGTCTGGTCTGAGTGATGAATTCATCATTTGCTCTAGACACTTGGATGGGAACTGGAGTTGCTTGGTGACTTAGAGGGAAAGCATACGTTTAGGAGATGTAATCATCTCAAATATAGCCTTGTAATTGCCATGTGGCCGTTCCCGCCAGCAAACCTGTTCAGCATAAATTTTTCTGCTTGGCTTTTCAGGATTTCAGTTCTCCTCTAAATCAGGGTATTGGCGTGGACTGGGGCTTTGCAGAATGTATTACTGCCAGCTGCCCATCTCAAACCCTGATAGGGGACAAGTGTTAGAACTTTCCAGCCATTTGTTTGTGTCCTTGAAAGTTAAATAGAAGGATTGAAGTGTGGGGGTTTCTACAGACACAAAAGCTTGCAACCTGGCTCTTTGAAACCAAGGTGGGGGGTTTGTAAGTGTCAGCCCCAGTGTTTCTTTTGTTCCAAAACAAAATTCTCTCCTGCCAGCCCCCCTTGGGTGTCTTCCAAGGTGGCAGTTAAATTAAAGTAGGGTCATTTGAGATCAAAGTTGGTGCTGCAAACTGCAGTAACAATGAAGGGAAGAGAGGTTTTGTTTCCTTCAAAAAGACTGAAAAAGTGCATTTACCTTACACTCTTTTGAAACTGGATTTCCAGCGGTTTATAGCAGTTCTTTCAAGCTGCAGGAGGAAATTCCAGCTGCTGTGCTCTTACACTGTTAATTTTGTTAAGCCTTTGTCGACTTTTTTTTCCCTTTTTTTTTTTTCTTTTCTTGTAGATTATAGCACCTATAGCCAAGCTGCAGCTCAGCAGGGGTAAGTAGCATTACGCCCTTAGCCTCTCTGTTTAAAAAGATGTAATGCAAGTATGTAATACCTGAGTTAAGACTAAACCGCAATTATGTTTGTAAATCCTATGGTTTTCCACTAGCTTTTAGATTTTGTATTGACACGGTATTTCAGTAGAAATGGTTTGGATATGTGAAAACTGTCTTGTGATACACGTTTTGCACAAGTCAGAAATACGGGGATTCATTATAAATGTCCTTTAAATTCATTTTACAGCTACAGCGCGTATGCACCTCAGCCAGCTCAAGGATATGCACAGACCACCCAGGTAACACACAGGACGGTTTTATAATTGCTGCTGAATCACGTGTCTGCCAGTAAACTACACAGGGCTCTGCCAGCCACGAAAAACGCTGAGCGGCAACATCAAAATCTGTTGTTAAAAGTTGTCTTGTAGCTTCCCACACAGCCCAAACCGCTTGCTTAAAGCGAAAACAACCAAAACATCGAGGAGCCTCAGCAGTCCCCTTCTCTGTTAATGTATCCGAGCCTAGGGTGGTTGTTGTCAAGAGGATTATAAAAGCCTAATTCTCGGTGTATGTTTGACACCACCATGTTGGTGGGTGTTCTACTCAGCGGTGTAGGAGAGAAAAACCTAAAAAAAAAAAGGGGGGGGGGGAGGAAATTGCCATTTGTGAGATTGCAGCAGTTGGACAAAGGAGGAGGAGGGAATAGATTTTTTTCATGGTGGTATTGTTGTTAAAACTATTGAT